ATCAACTTCGAGATTTGTATCACGGTAGCCGGTGTTAAATACATATTGAAGTACGTGCACAAAGGGCACGATTGCGCGCGAGTTGAGATTCGGGAAGTGGTCAACGAGAACAACGGTCAGCGCGTTGCAACAAGCGATGAGATTCGCAATTTTCTCGACTCTCGCTACCTCAGCGCTCCTGTGGCTATGTGGCGCATCCTCGAAAACCCAATGCACGACTCATCCCATAAAGAAGTCGCACTGGCGGTTCATTTGACAGATGGTCAACCCGTAATTATTGAGGAAGGACGGGAGGAGGAGGCATTACGGCGGGCAAGTGCTAGAAACACAACACTGACTGCTTGGTTTTCTCTGAACGCACAAAACGAACGAGCCCGCGCAATCAATTATCAGGACATGCCTAATCACTACACGTTGACCGCTTCCAATTCGTGGAAAGAGCGCGTTCAGGGTGGCGATAAGGCAATAGGACGTATTGTGTCCGTATCTCCAAGGAATGTAGAGTTATATCATCTTCGTCTACTGTTGCTGCGTGTGCCAGGCGCGCAATCGTTCCAACATTTGCGTACGGTGAATGGAGTAGTGTTTCCAACTTTTCGCGATGCGGCGCGCGAGTTGGGACTCATTGAGGATGATGGTGAATGGAACCGATGTATGGCTGACGGCTCACTATACATGATGCCTAGGGCGTTGCGCGGGTTGTACGCTATGATCCTCATTCACTGTATCCCCGCCGATCCATTGCACCTTTGGAACGACTATCGCTCTGATATGACGGAGGACTTTGTCCGCGGTGGCAATACTGAAGAGGTGGCGAATGCATTGGCGCTGAGTGAGATAGAAAAGATGTTACAAGCTGGTGGGACCTCCTGCGCTGAGAAGGGACTGCCTGTGCCTCCAGATGTCGAGAACATTGTTCGGGCAGTGGAATACGAGGTGATTGAAGAACGGATCCACGGCAGCGAGATGATGGCGATGCTCAATGAGCGTCAGCGCGAAGCTGCTGACCACATCTTGCTGGCAGTCCAGCGAGGAGGTGCGCAGCGCTGTTTCTTTATCGATGGCCCTGGCGGCACTGGTAAAACCTTCCTATACATTACGCTATTACATTGCACGGTATGGGTCTGATGCATACATTGCGCGGTATGGGTCTGAAGGTGCTTTCAGTTGCATGGACGGGAATCGCAGCAATTTTGTTGCCCGGTGGGATGACCTGTCACACCGCATTTAAACTCCCAATCAATATGCACCATGAATCCAGTTGGAATTTGAACGAAAAGGCCAAAGATCTGATACGAACTGCCGATGTGATCATTTGGGACGAGGCGCCAATGGCTCCGAATGATGCGTTTGTAGTCATTGACCGCGCTCTCAGGGATCTAATGCGTTCCAACTCTGCGTTTGGTGGTAAAGTGATGGTGTTAGGTGGCGATTTTCGTCAGCTTCTTCCAATTGTCCCGAAGGCTTCGCGAATGCGTTTGTAGTCATTGACCGCCTCTCAGGGATCTAATGCGTTCCAACTCTGCGTTTGGTGGTAAAGTGATGGTGTTAGGTGGCGATTTTCGTCAGCTTCTTCCAATTGTCCCGAAGGCTTCGCGGGGCCAGATTCTTGCTAAATGCCTGAAGATGAGCCCGCTTTGGGAACATTTCCGCACTTTTCATTTAACCACAAATATGCGAGCAAACGCCGATGAGGTCGAGTTCGCACATTGGTTGCTTGAGCTCGGAAATGACATACTTCCCAGGGCTACCGGCCGATCATCAGAAATCTCTGTGCGTCTCCCTGATCTTTGCCTTACAAACAATTTGGTGAATGAGGTATTCGGTCGAGAGCATGGCGTACGCGACGCGGAAATGCTGAGCCGGCGCGCAATTTTGTGCCCGAAAAATGAGCAATCTCTGTGCGTCTCCCTGATCTTTGCCTAACAAACAATTTGGTGAATGAGGTATTCGGTCGAGAGCATGGCGTACGCGACGCGGAAATGCTGAGCCGGCGCGCAATTTTGTGCCCGAAAAATGAGCATTCCCGTTTGGTGAACGAAGACGTTCTGTTCCGTTTGGAAGGTGCATTAAGAACATACAAGAGGACTGACTGTAAAAACAGATCAGGGTGAAGACGACGATCTGGAGCAGGTCAACTTTCCCGTTGAGTTCCTCAATTGATTGAACCGAAATGTTTTACCGCCTCATGATCTCAATCTCAAAGTCGGTGCCATTGTCATGCTTCTTCGAAATCTTTTTGCTGAAAACGGCCTTTGTAATGGTACTCGGTTGATTGTTCGAGATATGAAAGATAACGTCATCAAAGTCGAGATCATAACCGGTGCGCGGAGTGGAAACTTCCATTTACTGCCACGAGTGTCACTCAACACAGCGACCGATCCAAATATTCCCTTCAACATGTGCCGCAGGCAATTCCCGATTCGTTTGGCTTACGGTATGACCAACAAAACTCAGGGACAAAAGATTGACATGGCTGGTCTCTTGCTGCCAGAGCCTGTTTTCTCTCACGGTCAGCTATATGTTGCGTGCTCTCGAGTCCGGTCCGCCGATTGCCTAAAAATCCAAGTGGTCGATGGGCAAAGACAAGGCTCGACCGATAATGGCGTTTTAACCGACAATGTCGTGTACAAGGAAGTGTTGTAGATTTCAACTTCCAATTTTCTTCATAAATAAGTTCTGTTATCAAATTTGTGTCATTGATTTCAATTTTCAGATTTATATTTGCCGTAATTTCTTCGACTAATCTTGCAAATATTTCAGATTTTTTCTTATGATTTCCAAAATGAACAATTTCTCTCAGTTGTCACTTTTCGAATTTTACATAGGATGAATCATGAATGGAAAAGACATTCATTCGTGATTTACCATCGTGACCTCACCTCACAAATAATAAAAATTACCTGGGTGGCAATACTTTTGAACTACTCGAGGTTTACTTGAAAATATTTGGTATGAACCGAACTGCTTCATATCTTTGTAAGCATGTTTCAATTTTCCTCCGTTAGACGGCCAGCGTAGCGGCCGCAGGCCGCTAGTCATACTTTAATTCGAAGAGCCCGAGAGTTGTGGTGGTGGTAGTTGTCTACCCAGCGCGCGGGGCCTACAAGACTATGTCACTTTTGGCCATAGGCTTGGCCATCCAACGCTTATAGCGCCAGCTATATCAGTCAGAGCCATAGGCCTCATACTTAGCTGTATCAATCAAAGGGTGGTAACTAAATGCGTGTCACGTTTTCACTGATCGAATGAAAGTTCTCCATTAGAATACATTTTTGTTCGTGTTTTTTTTTCCTTAGGTCAGGCGTAGCGGTTCGGGCCATCGTTTGCATGCAGCAGTTTTCTGTTTGCGTTTCATGTCATGGCCGATTTTAGTTCTCGCGATTGATGAAATCAAAATGATAACGTAAGTTCTTTGTTTCATACGTCGCGCAAACAAGGTGCACCTCTCATCAAAATGGTGGCGATTTTTTCGAGGTGAGGTTGAACGCGAAGAAATAAATTGAAGGAGATCCCACCGGACGGCGATGAGGCAGTTGTTGCTGGTGAAAAACGGTTGGTGCTGGCGCGGAAACAACGTTTGCCACTGCAGTTGCGGTACGAAGTGTCTAAATCGGTGTTAGTCGTAATGGCTAGAATCAGTGCTGAATAGCAAGCAGATCTACGTAGGGATCGTATGGCCGCTCAGACCACTGAACAGCAAGAGGCAGCGAATGGTGAACTCCGGAATAGGAGAGCCGTGCAGCCTGCTGAGCACCTTGAAGCAAGGAAAGCAGCACTCAGGTGTCGAAAACCGGGGGGCGGCCCGGAATTGAACCCGGACCTTCTGTTTGCCGGTGAGGTGTGCTACCAGTACACCACGAAACTCAGGATGTTATTCCTCTCTATGTCATTTCAATCACTACAGTCGTGTGTCGCAGGGAGCACTGTCAGGCTGTACATATTGATGTAGGGAGGGGGCATTTATTTCACATAGCTGGCACAACGGAAAAATGCTCCTGATGCGACTCACTCTTTCAGAGCCTCAGGGTAGTGTTGTTCACTGGTGCTAATGTGGAGTGGAGGTATTTTCAGGAAATAGTCGGTAGCATTGTGCCGCACATGCACTAACTTCCCTCTGTGCCATCGAACAAGTTCTTGGGAATGGTCCGTACTGTTTCAGAATCATTGGTGTCTGAACCATACGCTAACGCTAATAGCCCATGAGCTAATCGTTGATGCAAGAGTATTGAATGTGCTAGGAAGACGAAATCAACAAAGTCGTCTTGAGTCTCATGGAAACGTGCTAAACCGAGTCGTTCACAATGGCGATTGGGGCAATCAGCTCGAATATCATGATGATGGTGTTTAGGAGCAGAATCTCCCTATGTACTGTAAGTTAGATGTGTATAAATGCAATGAAGCGGTTCAGTTCCGAATGGGTAATGCAATGAACAGAGGATTGTCAAGGAGACGTTATGCTCACAATAGAGGATTCAAATTTCCACCTATTGGACGGCCGGCGTAGCGGCCGCAGGGCGCTAGTTTATCTTCGTTTTATACATATATTTTCATTATTTTTTTTTGAGATCCCCTAGAGCCCAAGAAGGCATTTAGGTGTTTCACACTCCTCATCATAAGCTTTCCAGAAAATATATTTTTAAAAGCGAAAGTCGAATTGTCATATGCGTATTTTCCGGTACCATAACGCCCCATCCGTCGATGGTCATAATCCTTCAAGTTATAGGAAATTATGTGCTACTCAGGCATCGCATCTTTCTCGTAAATCGCCTAATGCGCCATGTGTACCATTAACTAATATATAGCTCGGAATCCAATCTCCAGTTCTGGAATCACTTCCGGTAATACTCTGGGCATCGTCGCCTTACAAGAACTGATTTCAGCAAACGAGAAGAACTTAAGGGTTTCACCTCTGCCGATGGTGAAGAAATTCATACCCTTTCCTAGGGTAATCTTCAGCTCAATGGTAGGAAGCAGTGAGGAAAATGTGCAATGCTCACGAAAGTGGAGAGGATGGCCAGGAGTCTCCGTTGAAGGCCCTCCAGATCTCCGCGCTCGTTGTGGCGTTCGAGCAATCCACGCTTACTTCCTCGTCATAATCGTTGAAACAGATACAGGGCAGTATGACTTGAGTAGGGCATGCCTGATCACTTTCCCAATACGCCAAGGAGAGGAGATACAGCCAGAAGACTCTCATGGATCCCATCAGATGAGACTTCTTGGGCTATACACATGTCATATATTGATATATAGACGATCGTGCATAACTGAGTGTCTGGCGCTAATTCTAACCATTATCTACACATATTTGGAGAATGGGGTGGAACTTGGTACACGATTATCTTTCAGATTGCTTACTCTATAAAATTCCAATTTTAGAATTGCGTATTTAATTACACAGTTTAGCTCATATCAGGCATATTTCTTATAGCTTATTTCGTTAGCCCATGCCAAACACACGGAAGGACGCTTAGGATTACGCCATTATCATGAGAAAATTTGCACTTTCTGGATTATCTAGGGTACATAGGGAAAACATTACAATAATAACATTCATGCATGAAGCATACCTTCAATTACTGGTACATCTGGTCCATGACAGCGAATAACTTGGGAGAATAAAATCGCACAATACTTTTGAAATATCAGCGGCTTCGGGCACTAGTTTCTGTCGCAAATTTCAAATTTCGGTTGGTGCATGAAAGGGCATATCCGCGCACATTGAAGTCGTACACTGTTAAAAAATTTTCCCGCCGGGAACTCCTGAGAGCATGTAAGAGAACACCTGGAGGCGTTCTTTTCCATGTTAAAATGTTCCCGATCCACGGTATGTGCTCTCCAATGCGTTCATGTGTGCAATGAGGTGCCCCATGAATGGGTTCTCCTCTGAAGGACAATTTTAGGAACACTTGGGGTCGGAAGGCAGGACGCCTGGGAACACACGACGGCAAGTGGGAACACCTCGCTCAGATCGGGAGATCTATTATGGATTTAATCGAGACTTTCTACAAGGTCCATTCGTTCCCTAATTTTCACTGGAATCTCACAACTTAAGGTACTAGGGACACCAAAAAATCGACCCCCCTGGATGGAAATTCTGTTCTGTAATTGTTGTAGAGGACCTCAAGGAAGGCCTCTGGAGCCCCTCACTGAGGTCTTCAGGTGAACCGCATGGCCAGAAAGTAGTCAAATGTCACGGCTGTCCCACTCCTCTTCGAAAGCCGTTATCTCCTCAACCACTTAACCAAATTTGCTGAAACTTGCACCATTTTCTTCGTTTTAAATAGCTCTTTAAGAGGAGGGCAATTTTAATTTCATCATTTTGCTGTTACGGGCGTGGTAACGTGAAAAGCAATTTCCGCGAAAACTTTCAATCTCTATACACTAAAAAAAATTTCCCGATTTGGAACACCTAAAAAACACTATCTGGAACGTGTTTAACGCAACACTTTTGGAACATGTCAGGTGTTCTAGATGGTGCAATAAATGCTCTCTAAAGTGTGCTCTCATGTTCCTTCATATGTTCCCTGATGTTCCCATGGTAGACACTAATGGAGGCGTCCCAGGCGTTCCCAGCGCAACACTTTCGGAACACCTCAGGTGCTCCTTTGATGTGTTCTTCCCACCAAAGACGGAGCAGATACAGAAATGAATAGGCGAAAATTGAAGGAAGATAATGCTTCATTTAGTGAAATAAATAGCTACAAAAAAGGAAACGATGCAGAGAATAAATTACCCACTTGAAACTGCTGCCCACTGGGAGTATGCTGGGTGCAGGTGAGTAACCCACAAATGTTTATCTTTTCAGTCACTCTTGTGTAACAATAACACCAAGCCATTTATGATCATGTGCAGTCCAAACATCAGACACGCAGTGAATCAATAGGGAACAACTTTTGTTGATCACCCATGAAAATTGTCACAGGTTTTCTTATCACTCTGCAAATTCAAGTACCTACTTCTGATATAGGAGGTCTGGCAATAAAGTTCCAGGACTGTTGGGCAGTGATGTGTCAGCGCTCATCTGACTAGCATCTTAAATGAGAGTTTGGCTGGCAATGTAGCAGCTCAGTGTGTAAGGCGTCTGTCACATTCCAGAGTAAAGCAATGCTTCATCACATTTTGTCTCAATCTTTGAATACAGCTGCAGCAATCCATCAAATGGTGCACGAAGTGTCTTAACAAGTTGTCTCGTCATACCTCCAAGAATCTTGAAGCGTTTTCAAGGCTTTCAGCCAGGAGAAATGGCGTTGAAAATAATGACTGATTCAGTCATCCCTTGGGTGAATGGTTGGTGATGGTTGGGGTGGAGGGGGTCTGAGAGTCTTCTCTACTTGCTAAAGGCCTTGAAGTTCATTCAAAATTAATGGAGCATAACAAGGAACTTTTCAAGACACTTCAGGAATGTTTCATGGATTACTGCAGCTGTATTGATCGGTTTCAGACAAAATATGATGAAGCATTGCTTTACTCTGGGAATATGACAGACGCCTTACACACTGAGCTGCTACATTGCCAGCCAAACATTCAGGATGCAAGATAGCATTCAAGATGTCAGTCAGATGAGGGCTGACACAACACTGCCCAACAGTCTAATCTATCATTCCATGGAATGAAATTAATTTTTGTGATATAGACAGACTCACAAAAAATCAGTCCTGGAACTTTATTGCCAGATCTCCTATATACCTGAGGAAGGAAAATCCTATGAATGTCACAAATAACACCAGAAAGAAAATTATATAGTGGCTAAACATGGGCTATGGTGGCAGTAACTTTTTCCTAGTGCCCACCTGCTAAAACCAAATTTCTGTGATGTAAATACCATTTTTCAAGCTGAACTCCTGATTGACATAATTATAATAGCCACACCCTGTTACAACTTCCACACAGGTTGACATGCTGAAGCTGTTCCTTTTTGTGCAGTCATGAAATGTAGTTATTCTATTTAAAGTTCATCAAAGCCAGGATATTTTTATGAGTTCACTAGTGTTTTATAATATTTTGATGTTAGCAGCTGGATGAATCCCTCACATTCTTGCTGTGGCTTGAGTATTCCTGCATTTCATGATGAAATTATATGCCAACTTATGCTTCTTGAACTATGAAAAAACTGATGTCATCTCAAAAAGTTTGTAGAATTTGCTAAAAACAAGGCTTCCACTCCAAGGTGACATGGTTCACATAAACATTACTCCCCTGTGAGTCTATGCACTCATTTCAATGGGTGTGAGGTTGTTGTTATGTAAATCTACAGGCTATTCTTGGAAGAGCATCCAGCTAACAACTTTTCATGAGACTCATGGTTCCATCATTATTGGAGAACTAAACACTTCGATAGAAATTGGACAGTGATAAGAAAACAGCCACAGGAAGACAAGTGTAGTAAATACAGTGGATGGCTAATAGTGATGAGGAAAAATCATTCATATGTTATTATTGGATACATGAATGACAAAAGCTCAATTTTCTGCTGAATATTTGCAGCAACCTTTTTTTGACAACTCACTAGGGTGTTGCTTTGTCATTTTTATCAGCCATCCCCTCTCATCACTGAAATAGGCCTCCTGTGACTGTTTTTCACTACTCAGTCAATTCCATGACAAAGGGAAGGAGATCTGGTGATTGGAATGCAATCCCAAGTTCAAAGTCTCATGAAAAGAAAAGACAATTTCAAAAGACATACTAGCAGAGATGCATGAACTCAAATGAGGACAATGTTCAAGGGGATCATGTGACCTTCAAGTAAACTGGGAGGTTATCCTGGCAGGAAAAGACTGCTAGGCAGGTCCTGATACATCAGGGAAGTAATGTTGCACAGAAAAGTCTGGGATGCAACATGCCATACTCAAAGCTAAAATATCAAGGTACTATGAACTCATATCCTCTCCATTTAAACCTTGTTTATCCTTTTAAATAAAACATTGGGACTCAGATGAGGTTAGGAACTTGTTTAAAATCTTTCTCCATAAAAATACATGACAAAAGCCTGCAGTAGGAATACTAGCAGTACCTCTAGTCTGATCAAGCAGGGATCTAACATTTAGGCGCATCCATCAATTGCATTCCTTTAGAAATAAACTTTATGAACTAGTTAATGTAATGCCTACAATCAAGGCCTATAATAACTACCTTCTATGCCTTACTCTGTAAGGCCAGCTGAGCCACCTCCATCTACTGCATTAAATTTATTCTCCTTTCCTTGATGACTTTGATGGTTAACTGAGACCTGCTTTATAAAAATAAAATGCTGCAATATTAATTTCATAAGTGATGACAATGATATGCAGTTCTATTCTTCATTAGGTTAAGATATACTCTGAATTTCAAATCACACCCAACAACTTGACAATCTCATCACACAGGATTAGGATTTTCATGAATCCCAAAACTATGGAAACATTGGAATGTCTTTAGCACTTCCAACCTGAGCTGTCACATTACAGAACCTGTCCTAATCATGCTAAGGACAAGAATACAAAATTTTACCAATTAAGGGATCTGCCAAGGAAAAAGTACTTATTTTCCTTCCTTTTCATGTGGGCATTCTTAAAGAACTACTTGGTACTGACCATTGAAATAAGGCCTAGAGCTTCCCAATAACAGAGTATTCCATGGGGGAAAAAAGTGGTAAGAGGGAATAGAGCGCTGCAACATATGGAGAAAATGTGGAAGCACTGAGTTTTCTCATATGGAACACTTGATTCCTTTAGGTCTTATGGGACCAATACATTAATTTCACCCTAATAAGAATCCGACCAATGATTATGCAAGTTAGAGCTGTAAATTAGGCCTACAAATATGCCAAATAATGACCTCCATCTACTTCAGCTGAGATCCAACCATTCTTCATGACACACACCCGTACAGCACCATATGTAGAGCTATTACCATTTAAAATCACTGAAGTTGCAATTAGATTTGTACGTTACCAAAAACTTGAATCATGCCACAGGTAAGTTAGACACCTTAACAGTTTCCTCACAGTTTACTAAACACATTCTTAATAGTGCTAGCTTGATTGGCTTGTGACCATTATTGATGACAAAGCCATTGCAGATCTGGTCTTTCTCCCCTCCTTAACAGGATGTCACCATACAACACCATACTAAAAACACTACAAGCATTTAGGTATCTCTCCTGTGGTATTGAAACCATATTTGAGAGTAACATGGAAAAGTATTTTGTGCTCGATGCATAAGGGTCACTGACTTCTTTATGTGGGACCGATTATCTGCTTTATA